AGCATCCATAAAACTCTTAGCCAAGCTTTGACATCTATCAGAGAAATACCCAATCGTCCAAAGATAAAGAGGAGCAAACAAATGGGCCGTTTGTGCTTAAGATGATGTTATATTCTAAGCTGTCGTGAAACAGACCAATCACAAACTCTAAGACCTACCCCAAGAAACTATTTCTAAAGATAAGACAAAAGGACGTGTGCCAAATCACTGATATCAGTGTATTTTGTGCTCCGGAAAAAACAAAGATGTCACCCCAGAAGTCAACCGTCTTCTACCTCCAAAGGAAAGAAAAAGAAAGGACTGCCTCCTCGTTTAGCCAAATATTTGGACGTGTTGTCAGTACTGTCCAAATGCCCCACCCGTTTTACAAAAACAACTCATTCAATCATCTTCTAAAGGAATTATACCTTTTCTCTCAACATCCGAAAGAATGCTTAACCAAGCATCGACATGTTCTTCGCCCAAAAGTAGAAATGAAATATACCTATCCGTCAAAAGAAAAGATGTTAGCGGTACGCGGAAGATTTGTGCACCTGTTGTTAGTACCCGTGATAAAATACGCATTGAGAACAATGATTTCAGGACTCATAGGAAGAGCTGCTTCACAACGTGAGACAAAATAAAATGGAGCAAGAAGATAAAAAGGACCTCTGGGTTCAAATGATCTCAGACGTGACCTCTTGAATCTGATTGAAGGACAAAAGCTGACTCTAGTTCCTTATAAACGATGAAGTAATTCCATTGTTGGCAAAAAGAACACTACCAGCATTTACCTCCCAATCCTCATTTGATGTCTCTTTTACAACTCGAATTGCAATCGTTGATGGATCTCAGCGATTTGTAAAAAAAAAAACGGTGAAAACGCAACGGTACGGTCAAGAGTTACATCGACTTCAACTCTTTCACCTGAAAACGTGAGATTAAACATATCGACCGACTCTGAAAGATTTTAAGACACTGATGAAAAGTTCATTACCAACACCACTCCTAGTGACCAGGTCAAACCAAGATAGAAGCAGCCCCGCGTATTTATAATAAAGTTGTTATCGAAAAGTTCATCTAAAACATGTGCTACTTGACAGGTGTACCAACAACTGCCGTTATTACCTAACATTATTGCAAACAGTGTTTACCTCATACGATAATTTTATCAGTCAAAGCCTAGGTCTTCAATCAAATTCTATTTTAGTCATATTTCAGTTCAAGGACAGACATTAATTACAGCTGATGACTCTTATTATTTCTCATCAATTATTCACATGATATGCTTGCTTAGAAGGATCTGAAATTATGTGATGGAGTGTAGTAAACGTATAGCTGTGCGTGTATGTTTTATACAGTAATTACTTTTAACTACTCAGTTCAAGGAAACAAACGTCTTGCGTTAACGTTGGTGATAAACTTGAATTTGGTAAATTTGGTTTTTTTTTCAATGAGCTCCTGAAGTCCCTGATTCCGGTTGAAAACTAAAGCCCTCGCAGATATTTGTAAAGGCTGATTGTCATGAGCATTAGATTCGTTTTCACATTTATTATTTATTTATCTACCAATTACTTGCACGCCCTCGTACAGCTGGTATTAGTGGGAAATTTAATTATGTACACGCCTGCGTACTAAGAGTGCTGATATTGTTCTAACCATTTTTAAATAAACTTGATGGGATCTATTTCCTGCATTAGTATTTAACACTACCTGTGCTGGGAACCTAAATGTAATGCCCTCATCGGTCAGATGTCAGTCAGGTTAGCATTATACCAGTGAAAGATGCTAATAAACCATTCGCACCTAGAATGTCTAGTTACGTTTACCATCAACAGAGTGATAACATCTGGCAAATTGTGTTGTTTTTTTTCCGTGGTACAAAATTAATAATCAGCAGGAAATAAGGCCAATTTCAATGTAGTTAATTAATTTCTTAATTGTTAAATTTACGGATATTTTTCATTATGCTTCTTAATTTTGGATTCACTATTATCAGGATGTTCCAGAAAAATAGTAAAATGTTTGTGTTTGGCTATTGAGCACCTTTTTTACTTAACTGGTGGTTTGGTATTCACTTGGTCATTTACAAAAAAATGTCATCTTTCAATAACATTCTTAATTTTTATCCGGATTGACTACATGTATAGTCAAATCCAACTTTAAACGGTTTTCAAAATTCATTTTAAAAACATGTAGTGAATTGTTAGAGTCTTCTGTGTAGCGTTTTCATGTTTCCCATTATTATATGACCTTTTTGTAACTCATTTATATGTTATGTGTTTTGTCATTGATTCCTATGCAAAGTTAGCGAAAGCTGAATGAAAAAAAACAGTATCAGTCTTATCCTCAAGTTTCAGATAAAAGCCAGAAATTCTGAGTTAAAATATTTCGTCACACGCTTTTATACATATGTTCATGTTATGTGTAGAGTTTAATACCCATGCAATGTGACAGATACATACTATAGTAATTAGTAATCAAACTGGAAAACCATCAAATATATGATGAAATGTTAACATTCGCATGGTCATTGAAGGTTACAAAAAGATAGCGTTATAGTTTTCATAAAATGCACACGTATCGATAAATTTTACGCATTAACCGAATTAAACCTAAAACCACAAGTAGTGTAATTAGAATTAAATAAGTTGGACGCAACAAGGTCCATATTAAATTCTGCAACAATTTTTCTGGATATTTTCTTTAGCTATGGTACATTGATTTATTGTTGTAAATAAATGCATAGTAAAATCAAACAACGTCAGTTTTTTTTATTCGTTCAGTGACAAAATAAAAAAACAAACATTTAATAGACAAAAGCAATGAATCCTCCTACTTGATCCCGGATTCAAAAGGCGGAAGCAATTGTATAAAATAGTATAATGATCAATTAAATTTGTCAACGTCTCTTTGTCAGTTTAGTATTTTTAGACAAAACATTCTTCAAGGGGAAGATGAGACACTTTCCAACAAACAGATCACAATGTCTAAGCCCATGCTCCTGTGTTTTTCAGTCCTTGTCTTGATGCTGCATGTATAACGCATGACATTGTTTTCAACATTTCTAAAATGTATAAATACATTCCCTTCCATTTATCACGTCAAAAATTAATTTACTAGTATCCCTGATTGACTAAAGACACTTGGACATAATTGTGCAATGTACTTGGAATATCTTACATCAAGAACGCAAACAAACCTGCACATAAAATTACCCATTTCTTTAAATATTTCTTCTGCGTTATATTTAAAGACAGAAAAGATTTTATTATTTTAAACATTGTTCAAATTTATGACTGTAAGCTTCTTATCTCATGTTAGCACCCTTAACACCGAACACTTCATTCAAAGGTTAAGTAATATCATAGGGAAGCTACATTAGCTGTTTCGCCTTTATCTGTGTGCCTGTCAGGGTCTGCTTACGCTTTGATTTTTATTCTTGGTTGTTTAAACGGTACTTTTAACGCTCCACTGGCTATATATCATGCAATGGAATCATTTGCCTTTTCAAATGCCACACGTAGGCTTCAGAAAACATTGGAACACGAATCTTACGCGCTAACAAGTGAAATGCAAGATAGTCATCATAATTCTTTGACAAAATTAGAAAGTGCGCACTGGGGCTGAGAATCTCAAAATACATGCTAGTGCCAGACACCATACAGAATCATCCAAGAACAGAGGAGTTGAAAGAAATGCATACAAATGCATACATTAGCATTAACTTTGGTGATTAAGAGACATTGATTTAGTTAATGTTTAAATATGGCAATATACCTAACATCTTTTTTATTGAACTAAACTCTGTTCTAATTGATTTGATTGACTGTCATCTGTGGTGCAAATTATACTGAACATTACACTCATTATATATAATATTTTTGGCGATGACAGACACGTTCTCGTTTTTCAACAACACAGGGAAGGTGTCCACAAACACATCTTTACTCCACCGGGATTCCAGCCTGGGACCTCTATTGACATTCATTAGTTTCTCTACCACTGGACCATCACTAGCGGCTAGCGTACTAACCACTACATCAACAATGACTGTTATTTGTTCACCATTTCCCCTCTGAGATTAAGCAAACAAATGTCTTAAGAATGAAGAAATGCATTGTTTCTTAATGCAAATATATCATCTTAAGTGATTGAATTGCGTATACCATTGTTTTGTGTATATCAATATATTGCATATACCATTGTATTGCGGATACAATCGTATATGACCGTACTCCTTATGCCACTATATTGCGTATATAATTGTATTACTATATCACTGAAATGCGTATACCGTTAAATTGAGCATACTATTGAATTGCGTATATCACAGAATTGAACATACCATTGTTTTGCGTATAACATTTTATTGCATATACCATTGTATTGCATATACCATTGTAATGCGTACACTAAGATCATGCTATTCAATGTTTTCATACAAATTCTGACAGTTTGTTTTTTGATAAACCAAAGTAAATATAATGCAAAAATGCATTCAATTTCTGTATACAGCTATTTCAATCTAGTGGAACAGCATTAAGCTTTGAACTGCTTTGGTGTTATATCAGTGCTCTAGTGGATTATGAAAAGAACCAAATTATTTCGAAAGACAAAATTGGTACACAAAATCACTGTATACGAACGAAAGATTTTGTTTCCCATGCTTTCAGACGTGAATTCATCCGCCTTTTCAATATTGAAGTACAATATTGATCCGTTAAACTTATAATGCTATCGTCTCTACATGTTTTAACATATCGCCTGCTCTAGAATACTTGGATACATAAACTGCAAATTCTCGTTTGAAATTCAGATGTGTAATGTGATTATGATTTGTGACGTAGCTTTAACAATTGTTCAATCATATCTCTACGATGTCTGCAGTGTGACAGTTTATAGCGATGTCTAACACTGGGGCATCATGCCGCATTATCCTGACACCTGGTAGACCAGTTGTAACACTAACCCCTTTTTGCTGAGCAACAAGCCAGGCAGCTGTTAGTACCAGTTTTGTAAGTTTTTGGTATGACTCGATCAGGGATCAAACCCACAACCTTCCGCATCCAAGGCGGACGCTCTAACAGATAAGCCACGGGAACGGTTTGAAATTTAGAAATGAGCAGGTATTTTCGTGCCGTTGCATACACATATGAAACGGATGGCAAGATACAAGTTCACATACATCGGAGCCGTATCCATGATGCATTGAATGCACTGCTGTTGGTTTCTAATTTCAACATCGGAGATAAGGGATCAAACCCACAACCTTCCGCATCCAAGGCGGACGCTCTAACAGATAAGCCACGGGAACGGTTTGAAATTTAGAAATGAGCAGGTATTTTCGTGCCGTTGCATACACATATGAAACGGATTGCAAGATACAAGTTCACATAAATCGGAGCCGTATCCATGATGCATTGAATGCACTGCTGTTGGTTTCTAATTTCAACATCGGAGATCGCAACACACGTGTTGTTGTTGTTGTTGTTCTGGGGCTTAACGCCATTTTTCACCACACATGGCGGCCAGTATTAATGGTGGAGGAAGAAACCGGGAAATCTGCGAAGAGAACCACCGAAGCACGAGAAGCTACTGGCAAGCTTTCTCACTTATCAACATTTGCCGAATCTTATACTCGAACTCAAGCAGACAGAGGTGAGATGGCAGTGATCCGTAACAGAGATCGCTTTATACCACTTGACCATTCGGGGCCTCTGTTATAGCGCGTGTAAAAACAAAAATAATGCTAACCTTTCCGTGCATATTGTTTCATAATTTGTACTATAAGTACAAGTTGGTACAATCTATTGCAAATCAAAATGCAAAGTATCTATTGAAAATCAACAAGGACGTCAATTAATATTAGCTAAACTCTTATAAGCATTCTCATCAATCAACATATAGCCAAACCTGTCAATTGCGGCCACTTATGGGAAAATCTAAAACAGGCCGTTAAACAGGCGTGACTCATGGGCCTTGAAAAATATTTTTGAATGAAATATGATTAAATAAGTGAAATATTATTATTATTATTACTATTACTATTATTACTATTATTATTATTATTATTATTATTTTTATTATTATTATTATTATTATTATTATTATTATTATTATTATTATCATTATTATTATTATTATTATTATTATTATTATTATTATTATTATTATTATTATTATTATTAAGATTGTATTGTACGCACTGTACTACATAATCACATGTATGCGATGATCTCCCAAATTTATTGTCTGCAGAAGATAATTATATTTTCTTCACTTTAATCCATTCTAGAAATGAAATCATTTATTAAAAATCTAAGTAAATATTAGTTTGTTCGCGTTATGAAAGAACATTATCTTGATCAGGAACTTGCTCAGCTTGCCCAAATCACAAACATTCGGCATATGTGAGACACATGTGATGAATATAAAATTAAAATAAGTCTATAGCAGCAATTTCACATACCTTCACAAGCACGATTGGTATATTAAATTTGTCTTGACTGTAACGAAATGGGATGTAACACGAATCGCATCTAAAAAATGGTGGCATTATATCAAAAACGCACCGCATGGATAAGATATACACATATCAAGGCATTTTATGAACAGAACAACATACCTTGTTACTTAGTAAATACAACGTTAAAGGTTTTCAAGGAGATTGATAAAAAGCAGTTAAACATCAATCGCCAATTGGGTTATCTGATTTGTTAATGAGAAAAAATTTGGTGCGATCTAATGTATTAGAATGTATTCTTTAGACAGCAATTTTATAATTTTTGTCCGACAGATGTAATCAACATAAAATATGCTATGAACTTATGTGAAGCATATGAAGATCCACACAGCAAATAAACTCGTTACCATTCAATCTTTGTCACATTGCCATTAGAATAGCTATTTTAATGTTGGGAATCGCTGTCATTTTGTCAACATGAAACAGTAACTAGGGGAGCAAAGTGAGAAGCTTTGCTTCTAAGAAAACACAGGTAGTTCGTTTTGGAGATCACACAAATGCTAATTATGTTTAAATTGCTGGGAATAGTTTGTTTTCTTTTCCAAAATGAATAATAGATCCCATCGCTTTGTCTCAGTGAAAAAATATCCTTTTTGTTGTAGCCTGATGTTTGGTTTGTCGGTTCTGTGTTTGGTAGACATGTGCGGCATGTTTGTGCATGAACATCTTTGTGTGTGTGTGTGTGTGTGTGTGTGTGTGTGTGTGTGTGTGTGAGAGAGAGAGAGAGAGAGAGAGAGAGAGAGAGAGAGAGAGAGAGAGAGAGAGAGAGAGAGAGAGAGAGAGAGACTTTTGAGGTTCCATGCTTCGGAGTAAACTATGGAGTTAGGTTAATATTACATGTTAGGAATCAATGGCAACCTACAGCGGAGGTATAATGATCGACAAGCTCGATGTGCATGGATCAAGGAATATTGAAAAATTGACAAATCGAAGTGTAACTAAAGAATTAGTGATCTAGACCATCGATAAATAAGATAACGATCATGAATAAGACCATCGGCTAGTCAAATTGTATGTATCAGAGAATAAGACAATTGAAAATCGAAGTAAAGAGATCAATATATATATATATATATATATATATATATAATTATATAAATATATATATATATATATATATATATATATATATATATATATATATATAATTATATAAATATTTATATTTCTATCAATAAGGCAAATAATATGAATCAATGTAAAACACCCTCCGCACTGTGGATTGTGTAGAAGTATATAAGTGTGAAATAAGTGAATAAGACCAACGACAAGTCGAATTGTATATATCAATTAATTAGACCATCGTCAAATATAACTGACATTAATTGATAAGATCACACACAAAAGCCAAGTGTATTGATCAGTGAAAAAAGACCATCGACAATTCGAAAAGTATGGATGAGTGAAGAACACTATGTGAAGAACACTATTGACAAATAAAACTGTATTGATCATCAAAACATCAAAGTTTTACGATCAATAAATTAAACAATCAAAAATTGAATTGTATGGATTAATGATTAAGACGATTTAAATGGTAAAGAGTAGGAATAAATGAATGATGCCATTTACTGCACGAAACGTACAGATCAGTATATACGACCATAAGACCATCGAAATCCAACTGTATTAATCATCGAAAAGACTATCGACAACTCGAAGTGTACGTAGCAATAATTGGAGTGCATGAATCATTTAATAAGACCATCGACAAATCGAAGTTTAGAGATCAATAAATAAGACAAATTAAAATCTAATTTCTATGATCAACATATAAGACCATTGGCAAATCGAAAGAATAGAATCAACCTATAAGATCAAATACAAATCGAAGTGTTGAATAACTGAATAAGAACATTGACATATGAAACTGTAGGAATAAACGGATATGACCATCAATAAATCAAGGAGTATTCATCAATAATTGAGATCATCGATAAATCGAAATGTAGGGATCAATGCATAAGGCATTAACAAATCGAAATTTAGGGATCAATGCATAAGACATTAACAAATCGAAATTTAGGGATCAAGGCATAAGGCATTAACAAATCGAACAGTAGGCATCAATGCATAAGGCATTAACAAATCCAAAATGTAGGAATAAATCAATAAACCATTAACAAATCGAATTGTTGTGATCAATGCATAAGACATTAACAAATCGAACTGTAGGCATCAATGCATAAGGCATTAACAAATCGAAATGTAGGAATAAATGCATAAGCCATTAACAAATCGAATTGTTGAGATCAATGCATAAGACGTAAACAAATTGAACTTTAGGCATTAATGCATAATACATTAACAAATAGAAATGTAGGAATAAATGCATCAGCCATTAACAAATCGAATTGTTGAGATCAATGCAAAAGACATTAACAAATTGAACTGTAGGGATCAATGCATAATACATTAACAAATCGAACTGTAGAGATTAATGCGTAAGACATTAACAACTCGAAATGTATGGATTAATGCATAGGACATTAACAAATCGAACTGTAGAGATTAATGCATAAGACATTAACAAATCGAACTGTAGGAATCAATGCATAAGACATTAATAACTCGAACTGTAGGGATCAATGCATAAGACATTAACAAATCTAACTGTAGGGATCAATGCATAAGGCATTAGCAAATCGAACTGTAGGGATCAATGCATAAAACATTAACAAATCGAACTGTAGGGATCAATGCATAAGGCATTAACAAATCGAACTGTAGGGATCAATGCATAAGACATTAACAAATCGAACTATAACGATCAATGTATAAAGCATTACCAAATCGAAATGTAGTGATCAATGCATAAGGCCATCGACAAACCGAAGTATATGGATCAATGATTTCTACACTATTGGCAAATCGAATTATGTTAATCCTCGAGTAAGACCATTTGCTAATCGAATTTTATTTATCAAAGAATGAGACCATCTAAAAACGGAAGTGGATGGATCAGTGAATAAGACTGTCAATCGAGTTGTAGTAATTGAGTATTAAGACCATAGGCAAAAAAAAAATTATGGAGCAATGCATAAGATTATTGACACATTGAAGTGCATGTATTGATGAATAGGAGCACGGGCAAACTGTAGTGCATGTGTTGGAAATGTCGAAGAATATATGCAAGACCATGAATAAATTGAAATAAATGAATACATTATGAAATACCAGTACTTACGTATGCTTCAAGATACCCACGGAAATGCAATGAAAATAAATTATAAATTAATATAAGAAGAACTAGCGATAACCAACAAATAAATATCTCTGGTCATTTCATTGTTAATTAGTATACACTAATTTTGGCAAATTCCACACATTAATGGAACATCTTGAAAAGTAGTACATCATACAAGAGTTCGGTATGACTTAGAGTTACTTAAAAAAATATGTACTCCTGAATACTCTAAATATTGCGTGCAAGGCAACGATTCTTTGTTAATTCTGTAGTTTATAAAAGTAAATATTTAAAAGAAACTATTGAAGGATAAATTATTTCGTACTCATTTAGAACCAAATTTAGAAGGCAACATAGACTATGAAAAACTAGTCACTAAGTATTAGTTAGAT